GCATCAAATTTAAGAAATTATTTTTTATTTAAAATTCTTGAAATAATTTCTAGATTTAATTAACTTAAACTCTGATTACAGGTAGCTCGAAAAGGATTAATTCCACAGTCGGTCTTCTAGACAGCAGTGATGATGATGGGTCAAATGATGTAAAAATGACCAGATCATCACTACCAACAGCTTCAGAGAAAACATTCTTACCCAGATAACCGTTTCATCCGCAGAAAATGCTACACTGGTAGCTTCTCACTCTACTTTGGTTACAGACAATAATGACCCATTCCAAACTGTTAGCAACCTCCGTCAGAGACAAAGCAGCAGCCAGAAACAGCAAGATCAATTTTACGACGTAGAAAATTCTTTACGTTTTCCTTCACCTTTCCCGAACATCACGCGAGAGGCAGAACAGTTTGCTTGTCGATTTACATTTCCGCCAATTAAACTGACAGTCTACGATCACGCATTAACATTTAACGATCAACATGTTAGGAATTTTATCAATGAAGTAATATGAAAACATCGTGGTCTTCGACAACCGATTTCATTTTGGAGATTGAATGAAAACAAGAAGATTCTCTCTGTGTTCTCAGAGATTCCTTTGACAGAGATTTCTTTTCCAAATTGTTGATCGATGGCAACTATCCTCATACATTCAATGGACAAGCGTATAAGATCGAATACCCTGCTAGAATATCAGCGCAGTTATCGTTATTAGTTGTCGGAGTTCCATCACATTTGGATGAAAACAATGTTTTGACTGATGTCCGAAGTCAATATTCGTCTGCAACAGTTACCTTGATATGCATTAACTCAGCTTGTTAATACTGTTATTGTGCCCTATATTTCAACTCTCCCGACTGCAGCGATAAAAATGACTAATGAAAAAGAAGGTATCAACAAAGAGACAGAACAGACAGATTCTTTTGCAGGTTCTCAGGCTAAATTTCAAAAAATTAGCAGTTTTCCGAAGACCTTGGTAGAAGCAGTTCAACTGACTCGAAACCGTTTTTTACAAAGTTCTTTGACTTTTTCAAATTTGTTAGCTCAATTTTCAGAGACATTTTCTCTTCTGCTACCTCAATTCCTCACTCCAAAAAAATGAGACTTAATTTGATCCGAAGTCGTATTTTTTTTAGAGTGCGCGTCTTCAATAATGTAAATGCGCCAAACTCACTAAGATCATAAATTTCAATCCATCAGTAGAATCTTTCGTTTATGTAGATCCCTCTATTCCTCCTAATATGGTACACCTCCATCTCGAAAACTCGTCAATTTCTGATAAATACTTGTTAAAATGTCTTGTAAATGAATGGAATTGTAAATCGGCTATTTCTAGTTTATCTAGTTTTTGGAAAATGACCGTTTCCGATGGCATGTGTTCGTCCAAACCGTTTTCTTCTCGCCTTTTCAATGTCTAAGGCTTGAGTTCTCCATTTCCGATAGTATGCGCACTTGTCGAAACCGGTAATATCATTTTAAATTTGGATCAGGTCTGGTTCGCAGGATATCACAGATTTTTACTCGGGACGAACTCTCATGGTGGTGTTCTGGTTTTGGTTCATTCTTCAGTACAAGCTACTTTGAGTTTCAGCGAACTAAACTTTTTAGCCGTTATTATTTCTCTCGGTTGTTGCTCGGTTAAAGTAGCTACAAGTTATTCGCCACACTCTTCTCCGCCAAGACTGGGTAACTCCAACTCCAGAGTTGCGAATTTTTTTGGTGGAGTTGGTTTGAATTTGGTTTTTGAACTTTTATTCTCAACTCCGTGTTGCATTTTTGGAAATATTCAATGGTTGTAAACTGATCTTCTCACCAATCGAGTGGCGGCATTCACGAGCGAATTCGGAAATTCTTTGCGCTTTCCTGCCGGATAAAACTCAAAAACATCCAGAATCCTGCTAGAAACCGAAAAATCTTCCTTACAAAAGTGAAGCAAGCGAAGTTAAACGGGAGTCGAGATTTTTGTTGAGAGAGTTGATGTTGAAAAGCCTTGAAGAGAGTTGGAGTTGGAAGTCAGCGGAGTTGCCCAGCCCTGTTCCCCGCCATCCGTTCAAACTTTACGTGCGGTTTGCTCGGCGGCTCCTTGTATGTTGATCGGAAACTTGGGGCTATTCAATCACAGACAGTCAAGGGAGAATTCTCGAGGAGCTCAATTTAAACGTCACAGCCGCCGACGCAACATCAAAGAGAGCCTCTAATTCCATTAATGATATAGGTTTAGCTTTCACCTCAGATCTCAATCCGAGCACAGGTATTCTTCGGAACGGTGCAAGTGACCACTCGCCCGTTTTGCATACGAGCAATTATTTAACTTCTTCTATGTATTTTTTTAAGGATATTCGATGGCAAGTTAATTCCATTTTCCTCTCTTTTGTTTTTTCATATTTTAATCACCTGGTTTATCAAGTATCTCCCAAGAAATTGTCCGAGCGTTTCTCAATTATTTTGGGTTCAAGTTTCAAGTTTCTCGTCTCGTACCTGTTCAACGTTATCGTCGTTCATTAACACCGGCTATTCGACAAAACATTTGATCCTTCACAAGGTCCGAAATAGATATTACAAAAGCCGAAATCAAAATGTCTTTGCATACGATCTATACCATGAGCAGAGACAAAAAAAATTGTTTCTATCCTCATCAAAAACCACCAAACTCAACAACGTTTGAAATATTTGAAAATGTGTTCCTCTAGTGGTTCCAGAGATGGGCAAGTCCAAGTCCGGACTGGGAGACTTTTTCATCCGGGCTGAGACTGGACTGGGACTGAAGGCGTAAGAAACTTGGACTGGTCTGGGACTGGAGACATAAGAGACGTGGACGTTTTTCTGTTAGATATTTCAAACTACGTCGCCGCGCATGTTTTGCTTTTGTGTATCCGTTTTTCATATGGTTAAGTCCGCTTTTCTTCAACTTCACTGAAGTTCAGCAAAGAAACTGTGGGATTTATACGCTTTTTATTTAAAACGTATTTACGGAAGTTCACATATGGATTACCATCTGTTTTTTTCTGTGACAGGAGAGCGAACTCTCACGGATCGTTTTTCGAGTTATCGGATCAAATTTATGTCAACATTTCCCTCTTTTTCGAATAACCTCTTGCAGAAGGTGGAACATGTATGCTAACTATCAATCCAATCGTGATTTAAGTAGAAAAAACTCAGGCCTGCGTAAATATACACATGTATTTCTGTATTTTTTTGATTTTTGGAAATCTTATCGTCACTCTTTCAATTTTTATGTTACCCGTTTTAACGAAATATTACCTGAGATTCGCCTTTTCCTCCGTTACTTCGAAGCATTTATTTTTCAGATCCATATAAACATGTCCGCGCTCTTCTCTCTAAGTGTGAAAAAACAAAATGTACCCTAATCTTCAAATGCGAGAGTGTCAATAGTTCCGTAAACAGTGACCAGTGAATGTAACTAGCAGCGTTAAAATTTCCGTCCGTCTCCCATGTGCCTTTGTACATACATGTAACGTTATTTTTTCGGTCAGCAGAGCACGATGACTATACAGGAGTCATCATACATGGAAAATGGTTGGAGTATTCACACCGTTATTGCAGGACAAAATGAGAAGTATGAAATTCTGTCCCATCCTCAACTGAAGAAAAGAATGTCTCTTACCTTGTTATTTCGTAATGCGTAATAGGCCACAATCTCCATGTCTTCATCGGTGAGCCCCTTCACATCCAAAGCTAACTCTGAGCCACTTTTCTTGTCAGCGATGATTTGTTCGAGTTTTGGGTTGCGGTATTTAGGTGCTGAAGAGATCGGCGTTCGGATAAGAGTGAATGATGGAAGTGAAGCATTAGTGAAAATTGAAGTATCTTGTTTTTAAACCTATCGTTCTGAATACAGTTATTCATTATGAAAAGAAGTCAATCATTCGAGTCAGAAAAAATCTGATCTTGCCTCAGGCAGTGATTGTGGGCTCATTTGATCTACTCATTAAGAATATCTTTGCTTTGTTAATGTCTTCATTACACTTTAAACTGGTTTTTCATTTTCTGACTGTCAATCAGTCAACTTCTCAACGTGGCATCGACAAGAAATGGATCAAATCAACTTTGAACATGTGTTCCATTATAGAAATGTTTATCGAATATGTAAGATCGAAAAGCGACCATATTTACAAGCGAGGTGTTCGTGCGCATGAGAAAACTAATGATTCATTGACAACCAACTGTCACAGGATGACGCACCTCGGTAAGACTAGGGATGTCCAAACACACTTGACTAATTCCACAGCTATCGTATGTTACTGCATAGAAAATGGTCTCTTCGGTAGCATTTAGAGGTCGGTCAAAAAGGCGAGATCGATTTCTGAAGAGTCCTACTTTTTCTACGCAAAGAGAAGAGCAAGGGCAACTCTCAACATCGGCTCTTGAAAGATCTTGAGAAGGAACATATTGTGTAAATTGTAGCTTGGAAAAAGAGTTTACTTAAACATTAACTACTATCCATACCAAAATACAGTGCCGGGTGCCACTTTTTGAATAACTTTTGATAGGAATGAGATAGACACCTGCGATTTTCGCTGTTCAATAGCCAAGACTTGAGCAGAACTTTTCACAAGCGGAACCAAACGCTCAGAACAGCTCATAAAACATAATCGAAGACGAAAAAGGTGAATGTGAGCTGGGCATTGGCTTAAGGTTTTCCAGAAACCTTCTGGAAAACCTCATTACAGAATGAAGCAATAAAAGTTTAATATTTAGATCTGCAGTTCTTCGCTCACTACGTTCTCCTTCGTTTTAAATGTTAGCCTGTCACTTATTTCAAAACTATCGCGGATTACCGTACGGAAAACGCGAAATTTTTAGATATAAGCTTGACTAAAAGAAAAGAATTTTCGGGCTGTGGATCCTTTTTGCGTCAATTTGACAGTATACTTAACTACCATATACGTAGAGTCGTATGAGAGAAGATATTTGTATAGACTTTAGAAATAGCACTATACACTTCAGTAACTCAGTTTTGTTTTATTAATGGCACCATCATGAAGATTCATATTAAAACTTCGACTGGAACTGGACGAACTTACAGCTTCGATGTGGAGCTATCAGCGACAGTTCAATGGCTGAAACAACTTCTTCATGAAAAGACAGGTAATAATGAAGACTTACAAACAGTATGTCTTACGTTCAACGGTGAACTACTCGAAGATGATGAGAAAACGCTTCTGGATTATGGTATACAAGCAGATTCTCGGCTACAATTAGTTGATTTAAGTGTCAGTGGTCGGGGTGATTTAGGTTTTATGGAATTGGAATTTGTCGATGTTAGCAATAGCACGGGTTTGAAACAAACACAGTGGTCCAAAACAGCCCCAAGGTGGCGAGTTTGTCCACCCGGTTTATGTCTTGAAGGTACATGCACAAATCACCAATGTGAAGCTCACAATCTACGTGTTATTGTGCCAATTGGTTATAAGAAATTTGATATTTTAGTCGATGCAGATGAAACAACAATAAAATGCCCTCTCTGTAAGCAGTATGTTGAACCAAAGACATGCAGTTTTAACAACTGTTGGTGGAGATACAAGGGGATTAAACAGGATGAAGTTGGTAAAGGTAAACCACCAAAGAAATGTTCAAGTGATTGGAAACGAGCTGGTAATGCACATCATTATTTTGATGAACAAACAAGTGAAATGATTATATGGAAGCAGCTAATACTCGAAGCTGTTAAAGACAAACCCTTGCATTAGTTAGAACTAAGTATTAACTTGCTCTCTGTCTCTCTCTCATTAAATTCGAACATCAAACAAGAACCATTTCTGATTCTAGCAAAAACGTCACTATTCTTTTCTTCTGAATAAAACAGCTTGTTCATCACTGCTCGGCCTATAAAATAAACGAATGAGGAATTTTTTGACGATTGCTCCTGTGAAAACATGTTTTTTTTCGTTGTCTGCTTTTAGTCACAAATAACTGCCACTAATAGTGGCTAAAAGCAGGATTGGTAAGAATTTTGCCACAGATAAGAAAAAATGTGTGAATCTTACTTTCCCATTGGTGAATACCAAACAAAACGGAAAGAAGTAAAAACGATGTCGCAGAAGTATGTTTCTTGCTCAGAGATCCAAGAAAAAATGTGAGAAACTAATCGAATTTTATATAGTTATGTTCAGATTTTCATCTAGATCATGAATATAAAATTTATTTTGAATAACAAGACTATGGTAAATAAAAAATCAAGTTTTTTATATTTCCCTTTTCTGAACTATATGTAAAAAAGACAATTTTTTCTTTTCTTTTGCTATACAGTGAGAGTGTCCACATGCTTGTTTTATGCAAGATTTATTCAATCTTTCAAATATCCACAGATCAGCACAACACAGCCGCCAAAACATATGCTCAAAATGTTTGTATATACTCAGAATTTTGAGCTCTATCCGAATCTCAGTCCTTCAGGAGGCGGAAACGTATGCTCGGGGAGATATTCATGTTTTAAGGAAATGTTGACAAAAATTAAAATCTATTTTTTAACTTAACGATAAAATATTAGAGTTTCGTTCAAAGTTCATTCGATAGAGCACATGAAACTCTCTGTGCTCACAAAATTCCGAGCTTTCGAGTAATCTCCTTCATGATATCTTTGTTGCTTTAACGAATTTTGGTAAAAACTCATTTTTTTCAGTTATTTTCAAGTAAAAAAAGATCTCGGACCATTTTCTTCGATCTGAAAATTTGTAATGGAATAAAATTTATAACTTTAGAATGTTTTGTCTTTCTGAAGAAATTACTTTCGGGAAAAAAGACGATGAAATCGATCATTAAGGAACTGTGATACAGAGATGCAACCGGTCAACAAAATCATAACCGGTACCGGCCGGTCACCGGTTACCGGTGAACATATGCAGACCGGACCGGACCGACCGGTCATTCTTATAAAAATTTTGACCGGTAGGCAACCGGTACTGACGTTTGAGTGCGAGAGAAATGTTTAAATCTGTGTGATATGTTTGTTAGCAAATAAAATCAGATAGATTAAAGTGTTTGCTAGGATAGGCAGAAATGTCTGCATCACTACGTCTTTTGCATTTCTTATTTTCTTTTGGAATAAAGAATTTGCTTTATATGTTGTTAGGCGTATCTAGTACGCGGTAATTCATTTTATTTATTATGTTTCATCCTAAATTCCATGTATATAGGTATCCTAATCCTGTAAAGATTCACAGTGTATATTTATGTGTCTGTGTATTACACATGCATTATGATTCAATTTTCGAAAATTGCTCATCATTTGACCACATGTTATTCACATAAGTTTCACGAAGAACAATTAGAGATTCAACATTTTCTGGTGATAAACGACTGCGTGTTTCAGAAACAATAGCACCACCAGCTGAAAAATGCCTTTCCGATTCTGAACTCGATGCTTGAACTCGCAGCTGATAAAAGAAACATTTTAAATGTAAAATGTCTCTTTTTTGACCAAAGTTTTAACATTTACATTTGTTGCTACTGGCCTACTGTTGAAGAAATTACATGTCTTTTTCTCTCTACATCATGCAGTCATCTATGCACTCTTGTGATTGTCCTAATGAAAAGGTTAAGCAAAATTCCTCTTTCCTCTCTCGCATTGTATACATACAATAACAAAAAACTTATAACAAGTTGTACGAATACAAACACAATATTAAAAGACGGAGCTAAAAACTTACATTAAGTTCAAGTATCATAGACGATTACATAACAAACATTAGTCAATGCATGCACGCATTACGTATAGACCGGACAAATATGAATATTTCAAGCAGAGAATAATGAATGCAATTATTATCCTTTCTTTGAGCAGTACAAAATAATACTAAATATGCTTCTTTCTGTCATATTCTATCACATAAGCCAAGCTGACCAGTCCCGGTCCTGCAGTTTGACCGGAACCGGTTGATAAGTCTCGACCGGACCGGACCGGAAACCGGCGCCCGGTCGCCCGGTCCGGTTGCATCTCTGCTGTGATAGCTTAGGGCTGTATCCAAGAACTGCTATTATACGCTTTATAGTTAGTTAACTAACTTCTGACTACTGTAAAGCCTCTATTAGTGGACACCGCTGAGTCCAATGGGCATATTTCCATTCAATATACCGGGATGACTTGTTCATTAGAGATAGTTAATTATGTTTTTTTGCCATTAAGTTCATCGTGCTTTCTCCTACTGGGAAATATAAAAACACCTGATAGTTTACGAAGAAATTTATCAAGAATAAAGGTGAAATGCCGACGTTAAATTTTCGTGAATTAAGAACATTCACAGTACAATCTTTAATAAGAGTAGTTTGTCAGATTTAATTGTAGAAGTTGTTTTTTAACGTTTCTTATTAGAAAAAAGTCTTGCAAATCTTACAATTCCAATAGAATTATTTAATTTCGTGGAAATATGACGTATGAACGGTAGATTGAGTATAATCTTTATCTTCATTACAACGAAAAATTCTTTTATTGTAAGATTCGCAAGATTTTTCTAATGGGAAATGTTAAAAAAAATGACTTCTATAGGAAAGAAATGTATCAAAGAACGAAACTGTTTCTGTTCGTACGTAAGGATAACTGTTGTATATATACACGTACACGTAATATATAAGTCAAAAGACATTTTCACATCAGAAGGAGAAAGAAAAACTATATTTTTCTTTTTCAGTAACTGTGTAAAAGTGATAAGTTACAAAAACTTAATTAAGTTGAATTAAATGATAACTTCAGAATAAGTACACAGTAATTGAAAGAGAGAATTGAGAAGCGTAAATAAGATTGGCATATGTACTTATTTTAAACTTAACCTTAAACTGAGCTTGAGGTGAATTGCTTCGTGTTCCCGCGGAGAAAATCGGGTAAAACACGCTGAAATTCTGCCTAGCCCAAGAAACGCTACTAAGGTTTCTTGGGAATTCGCTCTGAGAGCGAATTTTCTTTCCTCTCCAACACTTGTTCGTTTTGGTGATGTTGGACTAAATAGTTTAGTAAAATAGTTTCTATTGTCTTAAATCTTGGTTTATTTGCTTGGTAGAAAAAAGTCTCAAGCATTTGTGAAAGTCAAGATTTCACTACTCCAAGAAAAAAACTGTCTGATGCTCTTCTGTTGTTCTTCTGATTTCGAAAAAAATCTCCTAATTTTCCTCCTGATTTTTTAGAAAAAATCTCCTGATCAACTCGTGATTTCGAAAAATTGGATTTGGGCATCCTATTCAGTTCTCTTAAATCTTGATTTATAAGTTTGAATTATTTTTAAACTGAAGAAAGGCTTTTCTTATATAGCTTTGTAATGCAAGCTGTTGATTAATACTGAAATTCAAGTTTCAAAATTTTCGATTCATCGAAAAATTAAATTTTAGTTTTTTTCAAATTCGAATATTTTCTGTAAAAGATATTTTAACGATCATAAATGAAAAGAGAACACTTTTCATAATGACGTGTGGCCTAGTGGTTATAAAGACAAAGCGAAAAAAAGGTACTACGTAGACAGGGATTGAACTTGAGGTTACTCGATCTTAGGTTTAATACCTGTCTACGTAGTTCCTTTTTCTCAATTATTTTTGAGATTCCTCTGTCAAGGCTGGACTTAACAGGAATTATATCGGGTCAACTTATAATTGTAATTTATATAAAAATTCAGCTGTTTCAGGTAATTTTATATGCATATGAGCAAAGAACTCTGAGTTCTTTTTGCTCTACAAACTGAGTCTTTTGCAAAAGACTCACGTTTGTAGACAGACTTTAGTTTTTCATAAATCAGTAACCCTGAAATAATTGTAAAAGCAAGATATGTTGAGTATATATGACAAATAGCTAAGTTCTAAAACAAGAGAAACGCTATGTCACTCAAATGCGGAAAACGAATGCTATAAACTAGCGACCTTTGTCGATTTCTTCTTTTCTCTATTCTGTATGAACGAACCAGAAAATAGCAGTCCATATTTTCTCTTAGATATGTGGAGTCCTTATTTGTGGCTAAAAGCAGACAACGGTTTTTTTTCTTTTTCCTGGAAGGAAGACTATCAGATCATTAATTATTGTCGCTCTTCACAATCTGATTTGTCGAAACGAACTATGCATTCATAAACCCCTACATGTAAATAATGTTGCCATCCTGCATTCAGTATTGTTTTTTCTCAAAACCAGCAAGTTTCTTCTTCCGATTTCTAGCAGCCAATCAGAATTCTCACGGTTTTTTATCGACCAATTAGGTTTTTTTTCGATTTCCTTCACCAGAAATTTTTCTTTGACTTTCGTCGACTAATAAGATTTCGTCGTCGATTCCGTTCAACCAGTCAGAATTTTTCGCCGTTTGTTTTCGGTGCAGACCTGTTTCTAACCCTAACAGTTCAATCTATTTTCGCTTAAACTTACCAGGAATGGTTCCGACTCAAGCATTACCGTTACCGTTTAAGAACAAAAATTCATTTGTGAACACCCGGATACATGTCCGGAGTTCGGAATGACTTAAGACGAAAACTAAGGCACCCCCAAGCTCAATATTTCCCTTGCTGTGGTAATTCAGAAAACGGATGAAAACCTAGATAATCGATCACGCTGAATTAAGTGCCAACGTGGCTTGCTATATCTGATGTAGCGCCAAAGGTCGTAATGAAGAAGGTCAGGTGTTCGGAATCTAAGTTTAAGGGTACTTTTTACAGTAAAAGACTGGAAGAATAGAATGACACTGGCAGGAAGTTCGTAAAATCACCATCTTATGCTGCAAGACTAGCGTGTCACTTCACATTCTCTCAAAAGTGAGCAAACTGAACATAATTTCGAACATCCTGTAGTTTTCACTACGATTTACCTGTCTTAGTCATTACGAACTTCCGGACATTCTCATTCCAATCTGCAGTCAAAATTTCGCTGTTGAACCTTTAAAAAGCGATTGTCAGAGTTCGTTACGAACTCCTTGACAAATTTCATTACAAACACCCTATTTTTCGTTATAATTCATTGATCTACTCCTATTCAAAGGTCTACTATTTTCGTCCGAAAATATAGGGTAAACTGTTCCCTTTCGATTGCTGAAAAGCGCCAGTCTGTAGTGCTTATCGTTGTCGAGTTACTACCATGTATCCAATTAGGGTACATCGGATTATGATAAAAAAATTTAAAACCAAATATAAAAGTAACGTGTCTGGATAAGTTAAAGTCAACCTCCCAACCAAAATTATTCTTGTATTTCTAATAGGTGAATAAATTATAATATTCATATATCATCCCCCCTCTTAAGCACAAGTAAACCATAATTCTCAAAACGACAAAAAAAATACATTATTCCTATCCGATTAAAAATTAATACTCAAAACAATTAAAAAACAATTTTTTGAAAACTTAACAAATAATAATTCATTACCAACCTTATCTCTATTCTAATTGTTATTACTGTTTTTCTGAAAGAATGCGCTTGAATTTCGTTGCGAGATGAAGGCGCTATAAGATTTTTAAGTTAGTACGGTCACAGTGGAAGAATCGTATTTTCTGAAAAATTGGTCTTCTGCAGTTTTCTTAACCTGGACAACAAAATAAACATTGCCACAGTAATCGGCATGTCCTATAGCCTATGTGTCATGTGGTTTTAGGATTCCTAGAGCTCAGATTTGGCCGATAGATAGGTCCTTGGAGATTGTCTGTAGTGCACGAACCATGATAGATGGAGCTCCAGGACCTGTATCATTGTAAAGAGGAAAGTCTCTCCTACATAACACACAAATTTTGAGCCTCGCTCACTCTGCGAAGTCTCCTCTGCGAACGGCGAGCTCGGACTTTTTCCTTCGAAAGGCATAATGAAAAGGAGCAACCCCAAGCTCTTAACTGAATATACGAAAATTACTTATATTTCATTCAAGTGAACTCAAAATTTCTACCGAATTATTTTTTTTCTAATTTTGCATAATTCTTGTTTAATTAATACAAAATTAAATAACATCTAAGCTTCATTATGAAATAATGACAAAATTACATGTATGTGTGATTCAAATTTGAAACTGTTAGATAGTTGTAAGCATTGGTTTGCTGTTCGAATATTTAGTGTAAGTACACTAAATGCTAAAATCAGATAGTGCTTTAGGAGTTTTATGAAGTATAGATTAGGGAGTAGACCGTTACCGTTACCTTCGTTACTCCGGTAATGGTTTTGCGTTACCGTTACTAGTGCGGGTAACATGTCCACGTGCCAAGTCAAAACTTTTACAGTCAAACCGTCACCGACACAACGGTAACAGTAATGGTTGAGTAGTTACCGTTACCGTAAGGGAAACTGGTAAAAGTTCCCCCGCCTCCGTTACTCATAGATGCGTTATTATTTTGTTAGGTATAGGTATTATTCAAGAGAAAAACAACAGAAGTTTGAAAAAGTTTATGAATTAACAATTAACGAACAGAGAAGAAATGGAAGGAGATGATCTATTGTGTCGATGGTTGCGCGCGTACTAAGGAGTAGCCCAAATGTGTAAGGACTAGAATAGAATTTGTTATCACTCTCAGAATTATGATACTGGACACAACAGGCAACTAGGTAGACATTTAGCAAAAAAACGAGCGTGTCTATACTGTTAGCTATCTATCCATGAAAAACCTTTTGATCGCTTTTTAATGATGAGAATATTCAGCCTAAAAAATGATATAAAAGTCTCAAGGTATGAGACAATTTCAGTTTTTTGGTAGGAAAATCGAATGGAAAAAAGAGAGAAAATGCGTCTGAAAATAAATAATAATATAATAATATCGCAATTATATATTGTCAATATGACGCCATAAGAAGTCAATCGAATACCGATCCAATCTACAGAAATCAATTGAGTTTCGAACTAGACACGAAGCTTGTAGATGATTTACTGGCCGAAACACATTACAATCGATGTCATCATATTCTGCATCATCTAATACTTGTGGCTGCTTAGGGTTTTCAGATGGAGATGAATCGGACAATAAGAACTATTAACCCAATATCCAGGATTATCAGCATCGCG